TTGAATTTGCATTCAGTGTTTTTTCAAAGTATTATTGAATGATGGTTCTATACTGTTTGGAGTTAGAGATTTTATTCAACATATTAAAACAAACCAAAGAAGGAGTAATTGTTATAATTCTAACAGATTTTATTTTTCCCATCCCTACTCCAGACCTCAGCATTCAGATATTTTTATAATCTGTGAATTTACCACTTTTCATTATTTTCCAGATAAGCAGTAGAATGAAATCAGTTTGTCTTCTGATATCATCAGTAAAGTTCTATAATAGTTATTCAAAGTTAAAATAACAACTGAGTATGATATTTTTCAGCATTGGATATCTGTAGCATATGAAAAAGTTCAGGGTATTCTTAGAGCAGAGTGATCTTATGTGCTTATGTTTATAATTATATAACCAGTCAAAGTATTATTCAGCCTTCAGAAAGCAGAGAAACATAGAAGTATTTGGAGTTATTATCCCTAGAATAACTCAACCAAAAACTATAAGAGAGATTATTTTAACCAAGCAAAAGATGAATCTGAATGAAGACCACAAAATGCTGAAAGATAAAGAATATAGTAAATAATGAAGGTCATTGATCCTTTTAATATAAATATAGCTAAAGCTAAAAAGAAAATTTTCCTTGGAAAATGTAATATAAGTACTAAATGAGGACTTCATAAAAACAGGAAAAATGCAAAGATAAATGTCTTAATGATCTAAAAGTAAAAAATAAAAACAAACAACAACTATCTCATAGACTTATAGCAGTGGACACAGGAATTAAGAAGGACCCAAAGATCTTTTACTGGGGGAAGAGTGAGGAGATTAGCGAAAACAAAGTCAGTAAGGTCAAGGTATCATTTTAGTGGAGTACCAGATGTGAGAAGAAAGGGGTTATCATGGTGTCAGAAATTAGTGATAACTTCTTTGGAATAAGAAGGATCTATGCCTCTAATTATGGGTATGTCAGTGGAAGATAAGCATTAATTGATAGATAAGACAATATACAGAATTGTTTTCAAATAAGCAAGTTGACAACTTGGAATAAATAGCAACATGATGGACATAAAAAATGAGGGAATAAAAATGGAAATATTTAATAGAAACAAAAATTGAGATGAGAAGAATATAGTCAAATACCTCAATCATTACACTAAATATGAGTAGGCTGGATTTCTCAAATAATGATAGTATTAATGTGGTAATAATTTTCTTACAGAAAGAATACTTAAAGAAACACAGTTTGAAAACATAGAGAAAGAAATATTATGCAAATTAAAATAAAATAGCAAAAGCAGGCATAGAAATATTGAAAGGATTTTTCAGGTAAAAAGGCCTGCCTCTAATAAGTGGGTGTGCACACACACACACACACACAAATTAATAAAATTCTAGCATCAGAGATAAAATAGTCAAAACCATTCACTAAAAGAACTCCATGTTGCTTATACATATAGTCATTCATATCCTATTAATAAAAATATATTTCTCACTTTCTTAAAGAAAATCTCAGCAGTAGGCAAACCTGAATAACCTGAATGAAAGCGGTTACATTTTAGATCATGTACTTTGGACATAGTCCAATAAAGTTTGAAATAAAAAAACAAAAAGTTGGCCAAAGACATCTTAGTTACATAGAAGTTAAGAATAGTTGAAAATCATAGGGTGAAATTATATTTCTACAAAAGAAGATATTATAAGAGCAATTATAAACTCCCTGGTGAGTAATATAAAATAAAATGCTTTATACAACAGCTTTGTTTAAAAAAAAAAAAAAAAGGAAATCATTGGTATAACTTTGGAAGTCTCAACAACTTAAATAAAAACACACAGAAATGGTAAAGAATTTCTGCTTTATCTTAAGAAATAAAAGAATAACAACCATGAAATTAAATTAAAAATAAATAAATTAATAAGACAAAGAAAAGCTTCAGTTACTGGTGTAGATAAAGTGATTAAATAACAATTTTAAAAATATAGAAAAGTAAATAAATATGGTGGATAATTCCTTTAAAAGACCATGTGATGGTTAATTCCAAGAAACTCAAAAGTCCCTGTGGTCCATATTCATAGTACAGGTTTATGGAAGTCAGTGGTTAGTGAAGTTTTAGTTCATGTCTATCTTACAAAGGGTGCCATCATATTTTCCCAGTTCCAAAATATATAATTGGAATTGACATACTCAGCCACTGATGGAATCCCCACATTGCCTCCCTGTCTGTGGTGTGAGGGCTAATATACTGAGAAAGGGAAAGTGGAAGCCACTAGAACTGCTTCTAGCCAGGAAAATGGCAAACCAAAAGCAATATCACATGTCTGGAAGAATTGCAGTGATTATTACCACCACCAAGGTCTTGAGGAATACAATAGTAGTGATTTCCAGCACATCCTCATCCAACTTTCCCATTTGCCCTGTACAGAAGGTAGATCAGTCTTGGAGAATGTCAGTGGATTATTTCTTTTAAGATTTATTTATTTATTCTTAGAAAGATAGTGAAAGTATGCAAGTGGGGGAAAGGGCAGAGGGAGAGAATCTCAAACAGACTCCTCACCGAGCACAGAGCCAGGTGCCTCTGATCTCAGGACCCTGCAATCATGACCTGAGCTGAAACCAAGAGTCAGATGCTTAATTGACTGAGCCACCCAGGTGCCTTGACAGTGGATTATTTTAAGCCTAACTGATGGTGACTCCAATTGCAGCTATTCTACCAGATGTGGCTTCATTGCTTGAGCAAATTAACAAATCTGTTACCTGATATGTAGCTAGCTAATGATTTGCCAAATGCTTTTTTCTCCATTGCTTATTAATAAAAACTACTGGACAATTTGTTTTGGACTGGCAAGGCCAGCAGTATACCTTCACTGTTTACACCAGGGACATATCAACTCTTTAACCCGATATCATAATTTAGTTCATAGCAACCTTTCCCTTTTATAGCATATTACTCTGGTCCATTACATTGATGACATTAACCTAATCGGATGTAGTGAGCAAAAATGTACAACTATTCTACAGTTATTGGTTAGATATTTGCATGTCAGAGAGTAGGAAATACATCCAATGAAAGTTCAGGGGCCTTCTACTTCAGTGAAATTTCTAGAGATCCAGGTATAAGGAATGACCAGATAACCCTTCTAAGGTGAAAGATAAGTTGTTGCATCTGATTCCTCCTATAATCAATAGGGACACAATGCCTAGTGGACTGCTTTAGATTTCAGAGGCAACATATTCCTCAGTTGGGTGCATTACTCCAGTCTATTTACCAAGTGACCCAAGAAGCTACTAGTTTTAAATGTAACACAGAATGAGAGGAGGCTCAGCAATAAGTCCAAGCTCTTGTGTAAACGACTCTAACCACTTGGATAATATGATCCAGTAGTTCTAATGGTGCTTGAAGTTGCAGTGGCGATAGGGATGCTGCATGCATCCTTTGGCAGATCCCTACAGGTGAATCACAATACAGGCCCTTGGAATTTTGAAGCAAAGCTCCGCCATCCTCTGCAAATAATTAATCTCTTTTTAGAAACAGCTTTTGGCCTGCTACTCGGCCTTAGTAGAAACCAGATGCTAACCATGACTTGCCAAGTTACCATGCGACCTAAGCTGCTCATTATGAACTGGGTATTACTTGACCCACCAAGACATAAATTTGGGTGTGCACAGTAGTACTACATGATTAAATGGAAGTTATGTATATGAGATTAGACCTGAGCAGGACGTGAAAGTACATGTAAGTTACATGAAATAATGACCCAAATGCCCATGGTCCCCACTCTTGCTAAACTGCCTTCTTTCTCATAGCCTGCATCTATGGCTTAATAGGGAGTTCCTTATAAGTTGACAAAAGAAGGGAAGATCCTTCTTTTTTAAGTTTATTTATTTATTTAATTTTTTAAAAAAGATTTTATTTATTTATTTGACAGCGAGAGAGGGAACACAAGCAGGGGGAGCTGAAGGCAGAGGGAGAAGCAGATTCCCTGCTGAGCAAGGAGCCCAATGCAGGACTTGATCCCAGGACCCCGGGATCATTACCTGAGCTGAAGGCAGACACTTAACTGGCTGAGCCACCCAGGCGTCCCAAAGAAGGGAAGATTCTGACCTGGTTTACAGATGGTTCAGCAAGATACGTAGGCACCATCCAAAAGTGGACAGCGATAGCACTGCAGCCCAGTTCTGGGATATTCATGGACAATGGTGAAGGGAAATCCTCCTAGTGGGAGGAAGTTCAAGCAGTGCACCTGGCTGCTCATTGTTCACTTTTTGTATATTTGTGTGTGTATATATATTCACACATGTATATATGTGTGTGTATATATATACATATATATATATACACACACACACACACACAATAATGAAGCATCAGCAACAGTCCCACAAGGAGGTGGGACTTGAATAGTCAGCCTACCAGGAGTGGAAGGAAGCAATGCCCAGTTGCAATGTGGTCTCGCCATCATGAGACAGATCAGTTTTTGGCAGTGATCCTAAAGATGGCATACATCTGCCACAGATTATAGACTTATCTCTTTCAGTACTTGGCTGTATCAGTTTCATCAGAGAATTAATCTTTACCATGAGTATCTAAATGAACAGCCCAGACAATTCCCTCAGCAGCTATGATTTGTTTCTTCAGTTTTAGTCTTCAGAGAAGGATATATTTAATCTATTTAGTCATACAGTCTATAGTTTTCCAGTAGTAGTCCAAAAAAGTAGATTTTTGGAAACAGTCCCAGAGTCAGAGATACATTCACTGAGCCATATAACCCACACCCACTGTTGAAACAAAACCAATGGACTTTGTATTTCAGCTCAAGCAGCATCAAGCAGCAAGCCACAGTCATTTAGGAAAACCTTAGGAAATTGAGGGTCCAATTGTCCCAGTAGCTTTTTTCAGGCAATGCAGTGGAACATAAATTGTCCTTATGAGCTAACAGATGCCCTTTTATGATGTAAAGCCAAGATGCTATTGGGACCAAACAGGCTATATTTTTGAATGTATCATTCACCTTTCAAGTAAAGATGTTTGGATCCTTCCTTGCTTGTTAGTTTTAGAGTTGAGTTGACCCACTACAAAGGAGCATTTCAAGCCAAAAAGTAAAAAGGACTCTGGAGGTCAGGTATGAACAAGAGCTCAGTTGCAAGCTAATAGCTGCTTTTTAAAAGTAGTGCATCTATTATTAGCCATGTTAGGGAGGCCATAAGTCCAAAATTCCAAGGGGCATCTCTGAGTGGGATGGCAAAATCATCAGTTGTAGAGCTATACTATCTCCAGTACCTGAAGTATCCAATAGGTGCTGGGAAGTGCTGGGCCTTGCTTTTGATATTGTAGCCAAAAAAGACAAAATATTTCCCTTGAGTAGCAAAGAGATTCAGCATTGTGAATCTACCACATAGTCCCATTTTTATTGGAAAGCAGAAATCTGAATTTTAAAGAGTTTTTTTTTTTTTTTTTTTTTTTTAAGAACCTCTGTTGCAGAGATATAATTACATCACAGTTAGGGCATCTGACACTGAGACTTAAGACTTGACAACCAATAGCACATTAACCATATAAAAAAAAAAAAAAGAACATCAGAGAGTAGAGACTTTCATGCTAAATCTCGATCGAACAACTGGTGGCAAATGTCAGGGGAGTTTGTCCAATGGCAGTTCTCTTATCTGCAGCTCTTTCACCGTTGAGATAATCCTCTCTGGCTAATCTCCACATGGCCTGGTGGAGTACAAGCGTATAATACACCACTTCCTGGTTTACATTCAAATGTAGAAGCAAGGAAAACATTACATTGAACTGGCTTAAAGATCTCCATTTTCTGAATTCAATGACCCACATATTTTCATGTTTTTGCCCAATTAGGCCCTTTCTGGGTGAGGACAACTGGCATTAGGATAAAAGATGACCAAATGACTAATGATCCTGAGAAGTTAGACAGGATTTTGGCAAGATTTAGTGACATCTTCTCTGGAGATACTTACTTACATTACAAAGGGTAACACAAACATCTTCCCACAGGAGTTGGGGCCTCCTGTAAAGCTTCATAACTTGTGGTTCTCCTTGGGTGGTGTAAACTTTGGTACTCACAGGCACATCTAGTTCTCATTGCTAGGCTCTTGTAGAATTGGGGTATAGGGAATAGGAATAAGGTCTCTGTGAGAAAAAGATCTGTTCCCCAATCCAGAGAGGTTTTGTGTCTCCATATATTTTTGTATACTCTAATAGTATATACTGTAATAGTTACATTTACATATGTGTGTGTGTATATATATACACATATATATACACACACACGTATTAACATATATAAAACTATGGCACACTACTTCTTAAGATGCAAGTAGGATGACTTTTCAGATATGAAATCACAATTATGGACTTAAATTCCACAAGGACACATTAGCTTCCTCTCCCACTCTTAATGGGAGAGGAAGCTAATGTCTAAATGTATCAGTTGCATCTAGCCACTTCCCCTACCCACGGGTATGAGTAGGATGGTTGCTTGAGTGTTTGTATTTAATAGAACCATAAAAGTTCGAGTCTCTCCACTCTTCCACATTTCATAGTATATTCAACTTTTTCCCTTAAAGCTGCTGAAGTCAGAATAGAAGAAAAAGGAAGAATCCAAGGGTGCAGAAAAGAGAATTAATATATGAGATCTCTTTAGTTTCATTCTTTTATATGTGTGGAAGAAGTATAAGATATTTTTCAATGAAGTACTACGTTTAATAAGATACTCTATGTCCATTGACAGGAATTAGTTTAAAATAAAGTAACCATTGCAAACCATAGCATATTTAACAATGGCAGCAGAAATAATGAAAATTCATAACTAAAAATGGAGAGGTTAGTAAAATATATTTTTAAGGGAAGAAGAGCAAATTAAAGAATCTGTATATATAAGGTGTTCCCAAACTATGGCCCATGGGACAAATTCAAACCATGGTCTGTTATTGTATGTCTCATGAGCTAAAAATGGTTTTTCTATTATACAGAATGCAAAAAAAAAAAGGAAGAAGGAGAGGGGAAGGAGAAGGGAGGTGAAACAGTAGGGAGAAGGAGAAACACAGGTAAGAGGGAGAAGAAGGAGGAGTTGTCCCACTACCGCTGAGATGAGATGTAGTCAGCAAAGCGTGAGATACTTACTATCTGACTCTGTAGAGAAAACATTGGCCAACCCTTGGGGTCCTGCAAGATAGTATTTTTGAAACATACAGACACATCACAAACACATACACTGATGCTATACAGTTAACTGTACAGTTAATATAGGTATCTAATTTTCAAATTGTATGCATGCCTCTAGAAGGGCACATCAAGCTCAAGACCTGTTACATTGGTAAGAGCTTTATGTGAATCCAACCACAGTTTCCTTTCTAATGATAAGAAAAGTGGATACAAATATTCTTTAACAAATCTTTATTTAAAATACAGCCGGGGCCCTGGGTGGCTCTGTTGGTTAAATGGCTGCCTTTAACTCAGGTCATGATCCCAGCGTCCTGGAATCAAGCCCCATGTCAGGTTCTCTGCTCAGCAGGGAGCCTGCTTCTCCCTCTCCCTCTGCCTGCTGCTCTGCCTGTTTGTGCTCTCTCTCTCTCTGTAAAAAAAAAAAAAAAAAAAAGTCTTTATTTCTCTCAATCCTGATTCTATTAATAAGCATTCAGGTGTTTTTTAGTTTAGGTTTGGGTGTGTGGGTGTATTTTAATTTGAGCAATAATGCAATAAACAAATGCCTATATTTTTAATATTGCTGATTTTCTTTGTATTGTATAGATCCCCAAGAGTTAAATTTCTAGTTTTTATTATTTATTTATTTATAGTTTTAATTTTAACAGCTATTGCTGCATTGCTTTCAATGTTGAATTTAACAATTGTGAGAGTTGACATTTCCACCAGCAATGTATGAGAGACTCTTTCAGTTCATCTCTAATAGATATTTTGTTATTATTTTTATTTTTACCACTTTCACTCTGATTTATAAGATGTGGTTTTGCTTTGTGATGTTGCTTTTATTAACATAAAACTGAATAAAATTGTTAAGAAAAATGATATTTCTTTAGCAATTATTTAAATATCTAAATTATTTCAAGTGAATTTTGAGAATATATTTACTTAAATTGACAATTTTCAGGAGTTTTAAAATTAAAATACATCTTTCTGTAGAAGAAATGCTAGCAAAATATTAAACAGATTAACACAAGATTATAGATAGAAACCAACTCTACTATGATCAAGAAAATGAGAGGAGAAACAAGCTGAAATGGAGAGACCAAGGAAGAAAGAGGGAGGGAAGGAGAGAGAGAGAGAGAGAGATAAATCAAGTAGAAATGTTGGATGGATGTAATTAATTGAATGACAACAAGTTATAATAACTGGACATAATATTAAATAATGCTGTGATTAAGTGCCTTTCAATGAAATATTGCATATATATATTACATCTTGTTTGGTCAACATATTCCCAGAATCCATTTAGAAATGGAGAATAGGAAATTGGCTATAGTTGAGGTAAAAATCAGAGTCTATTACATAGTATTTACTATATATAATTAAATTAATAAGTGAATGCCTAAAATTTTCCAGGTTAATTAGCTATACACCTAACTGCCATATTGTTCATTGCAAATTGATTCAGAAGGGGATTTGTGCACATTTCTGTCCAGTGATGTGTGAAAGTAAGTTTGCCGAAGCACCATTTACTTCTAGACTATAAATACATATAGTGCTTTTCTTTTCTTTGAATAGCCTTCCATTGGTATTGGAAACCTGAAACATCAACAATTATCTAAGGATAAGCTAAAACCAAAGATAACACTGAAGAGATAAGAAAGAATCTGAGTTGTTACCGACACACAAGAGTTATTGAATCAGTCAGTTCTAGAGTTGTCCGTAGTGCATTTGCCATTTTTGAACTAATGTATTATTGTATTATTGAAGCTATTTTGAAATGGCATTTCTGTAATCTGTGACCAAAATCATACTAAATGAAACATATCACTAGAGGTCAGCAATGAAGCTTTTATTGCTGTTTAAAAAAGAACAGCAGTATTTTATTTCTAACTAGTAAAATCTCTTTGAATGTTTTACTTTATATGGGATATAAATAATTATAATGACTGTACTTTTAAAAATTAATTAAAATGAACAATTTTTTTCTTAAAACAATAAGATGTAAATGTTATTCAATTTTATATTTAGAACACTGTGTATGAATGTTAAGAATTATGTAAAGCATTGTCAGAAGAAAGAAAAATATATACAGTATTCAGAGAAAAAGCAAGTGTGGAGATTTATCAATGTTATTGATAACAGAAATACACAGTAGAATTATTTTCAAATTGGAAAATTCAGTACAGTTAAAAATAGTGATTTTGATTAGAAGGTAAAAATATTGTCACACTGACTGGCAAATTTCTCTCAGGACAAAAGAAAGCAAGAACTATAAAAGAGAAAAAAAGATTGTCAAATAGTACTTCATGAAATTTAAAACTTTTTTTCATCAAAAGACAGTATTTATAATGAATGGGAGAAAATACTATATATATGTAAAAAAAGAGTTAAGATTGATAATATATAAATCGCTCTGGGAAATAGATAAGAAAGACCCAATACAAATAATCAAGATACTTGAACAGATATAATTCCAAAATGTTTCAAGTTTCCAGTAAGCATATGAAAAGTGCTCAAAGAAATTTCTCTCAAGTTAAATGTAAATTAAAATAAATAAAATACCATTAACAAACCCAGAATGGTTAAGGTTAAGAACACCGGAAGTGTTTAAGTATTGGTAAAGATGTAAAACGACTGGGAATCTCATAAATTGCATGTAAATTAATGTAAATCAGCAAAACCACTTGGGTAACTGGTAACTGCAAGTATTTATCAAGCCTAAAGCATATATTTACCCTATGATCTGTCAAATCTGCTTTTCCATTTATACATCTGGTAGGCAGAATAATGACCTCCCCTCCAAAAAAAAAAAAGTTCAATGAATATGCCTACTTTACATGGCAAAACAGACTTTACAAATATGATTAAAGTAAGGATCTTGAGATGGATTATCTGGGAGCGCCCAGTGTAATCAAAAGAAGTCCTTATAAAGTTGAGAAGAGTCAGGAGTGTGAATGTTAAAGAGTGTCACAAAGTGACTCATTGTTTGCTTTAGGATGGAAGGAGGACAAAGAGCTAAGGAGTGGGGACAGCCTGTAGAAGCTGGAAAACGCAAGAAAACAAATTTTTCCTTACAGCTTGCAGAAAAAATGTAGTATAACTGACACATTCATTTTAGCCCAGTGGGACCCATTTTGGCTCTTTGACTTCTATCATTTAAAATAGAATGTTGTCAGCCCTCCGATTTAAATGCCTTGATCTCTGTCCTCATGACCTAACCACCATTCTTGTAGTTTCACCTATATGCTTATTGTGCTTTGGTCAATGACCACTCTTCCCTAACCTAGCTGTGTAATTCTCTTTTAAAATAATTTAATTCAGTAAACCTAGTTAGTGCAGCCAGATTCTTACTGCCTTGGATTAATCCCAAAGAGAACTGATGTTCACAAACTAAGACATAAACAGATTCTTTTTTTTTTTTTTTTTAAGATTTTATTTATTTATTTGACAGCGAGAGACACAGCGAGAGAGGGAACACAAGCAGGGGGAGTGGCAGAGGGAGAAGCAGGCTCCCTGCCGAGCCGGGAGCCGGATGTGGGCCTCGATCCCAGGACCCTGGGATCATGACTTGAGCCGAAGGCAGACGCTTAATGAATGAGCCACCCAGGCGCCCGACATAAACAGATTCTTAATAGCATACCACATCCAATTTCATTAATTAATATGATGATTTTCTTTAAAACGTTGTTTATTTTTCAGAGCTTTCAGAGTTTATATAGCATTTCCTTACATGAATAAAGAACTAAGTATTAGAAGCTAAATCACTGCAATTCACTTCATTTGGATTTGCCTATAAACTTCATGGCTGTTGTAAAAATAAAGTTCTACTCTTGTACTTCCTCATATAAGACAACTCTGTGCCATCCTTCTTTTGTGCCAACATGTTTAGATGATGGTAAATTTATGACTGTTTTCCAATGAATGCCTTGTGTTCTACTGCATAATATTTTATAATCCATCCCAGATTGTTATAATGAAAGTTTCTTTTCATCAAAAATATTATGGCAAGGTTTAGGTTCTTTGTCTTATAACTCTCTGTCATTGAATGCTGCCTTCATTGCTAATGCTTTCTATAATGTGCAAAATTGCTCCTCAACATTGATAATGAGCTCCTTTTATGTTCTTTAAATTTTATCCTATTTTACTCATTAGGCTGATAGCCTTTCTTACACTGAAAATATTAAGGCTCCTATTTTATCTACTTTGGTTTTGTTAAATAAATTTTGTAATGTAAGCTAGTAATTAGAAATAAATTCCACCAAGAATAAGAACTAAAAGTGAACATTTGCCATTATCATTACAGTAAGCTATTTTTCCCTGCATATTCACTGCAAAAGAGTCATTTCAATGAGTGATGTATTTTTTTTTTAACCTATGGACACAAAGCAGATTTTTTATATCAAAGGAAAATGTAGAAATATTAGAAAATATCAAAGTCTAAATTTGGGAAAATGAATCACAAAATTATTCAAACACTGACATATATCATGTAGGTTAACTTACACATTTCTTTTCATAGAAGTAAATAAACATTCACCTCATACACTGTGGTATTAAATGCCGAAATTCCTATGTGTTAACAATTAGAGATAGTTATTGACATGAGTGATGATTTGAGGATTTGTGTTTTAAAAAAACACAAAAAGCTATAACTTTGAGATCATTTTACAGTAAACATCAGATTCAACAAAAGGAAAAAGCTTCAAAAAGCAGTATTTTTTTATTATAACATATATAAATCATTGCAAACATATTAACCTTTTAAATCAGTTACATATCAAAAAGTACATTCTGTGATTTTTAAAAGAACATCAGGGCATTTCTCTTAGAAGTATTATATTTAAAATTAACTCTTCTTTCTAGTTGACTGTAATTCAGCTTTTAACTTCTATGTGACTATAGGTAAGGAACTTGAATTGCCTATTCCAACCTTGAATTATCTATGATACAGATTTGTGTGTATCCTCCATAATAAAACCTTTTAACGTTTTGATACTTCTGAAATATAACACAAAACACTTAATACAGCATCCGCATTTTAAAAATTATTGGCATTTTAGATACTCAACACATACTAATATCTATTCAGCCTAATACACACAGATGGTACTGTCAAGCCTTGATATAAATGAAAAATGCCATCATCTATATCAGTGTATTTGTGTATCTATACATGTATGTGTGTAGGTGTATACCTACTAATCTCTGTTATCTGTCTCTCCTTCTGTCTATATCTATCTATCATCTATCTATCATCTATCTCATCTTCCTGTCTGTCCATCCATATACATCTTATAAAAAGGCCTTATATTGGAAAACACTGCAAAATTCATTTTTGTTGAATATCATCTATTGTTAGTACTGGTTATAATAGAATGAATATAGGAAATTGGAGCAACCTGTAACTCCCAGATTTCTAAGTTGGTTGCAGCAGTTAACTGATAAATAGGAGGATAGAACATGTGTATTATCTTTAATCAGCTCTGAATTATAAAAAAAGTCTAGACTCTAAAAAAATCAATCAATTATTTAATTAACTAATAACTAAGTAACTAACAGCAGTCCTAACACACCACACTGGAATTATATTTAAATTGGAAAACTTCTTTGCTTTTTTTGTTTGTTTGTTTCCAGTATTTACTTAAATTCCAGTGAGTTTATAGTGTGATATTACTATTTTTAACTTTTTGAGGAACCACCATACTCTTTTCCAGAGTGGCTGTACCAGCTTGCATTCCCACCAACAATGTAGGAGGGTTCCCCTTTCTCCACATTCTTGCCAACACCTGTTGTTTCCTGAGTTGTTCATTTTAGTCATTCTGACTGGTGTGAGGTGATACCTCATTGTGGTTTTGATGCCAAGTGATGTTGAGCATTTTTTCATGTGCCTATTAGTCATTTGTATGTCTTCTTTGGAGAAATGTCTGTTCATGTTTTCTGCCCAATTCTTGATTGTGGGTTTTTTTTTTTTTTTTTTTGCATGTTGAGTTGGTAAGTTCTTTATAGATTCTGGATACTAACCCTTTAACAGATATATCTTTTATGAATATCTTCTCTCATTCCTTAGGTTGCCTTTTAGTTTTGTTCATTGTTTCCTTTGTTGTGCAATATGTTTTTATCTTAATGAAGTCCCAATAGTTTTTTTGTTTTTGTTTGCCTTGCCTTTGGAGATGTATCTAGTAAGAAGTTGCTATGGCTGATGTCAAAGAGGTTACTATTTGTGTTCTTCTCTAGGATTTTGATGGTTTCCTATCTCACATTTAGGTCCTTCATCAATTTTGACATTAAAGCAAATAGTGAAGTTGTTTACTGGTTTGCAATCTGATCTTCCTGGCTAAGAATTTGAGAGCAAATTGTTAAGTGATGTCAACATAGGTCACCTCAGTTGAGTTTAAGTAGATCATCTCAGTTTTCTGTCACACACTCATTTTTTATCCTAAACTGAAATTTCAGGCATTATTATCTAGGTATGTACTCGATCCAGATCTGCACTGCTGTTTGAAGTGGTAGACTGTATATCAAGTTCCCCATGATGGTTGTTTGAACATCTGTGAACAACAAATATTCCAGTTCTATTTGTTGGATTATCATTTTTTAGGGGATGGGGTTATCTTTTTTTTTTTTTTTTTTGGTCTGTAGCTATACAATAATATTTAAGACTTAATGACTAAAGTGTGTATCTAAGCTCATTACCCTACTTTCTAAATATCAGACCAACTGGGGAGAAGTTTCCTTATTTGATACCAAACTGTTTTTTAAAAATACCCATTTAAAAAAATACCCATTTTTCTAATTTCACATTTTTATTTAAAATTTTAGTAGCATGGAGATTGAAAAGTTATCCCTCTGGAAATAATGTAACAAATTCTTGACAAATGATTACAGAGGTTTTACTTTGGGAAACTAAAAGAATATCAAAGTATTTATATATTTACTGCATCTTGTACAATTCTAGTGGTCTTAGAAATAATGTCCATACTGTAAGTTTCTTGTTTTTACCATGCAATGGTAAAATGTCACTATTCTGTCTTTTTGAAACTTCCTATATAGATTGAGTCATACTCTGAATTTCTCCCTATCTTATATAGGTTTTATAAAATCTTCTGCAATGACTCTTTGTTCATGTTGAAACTAGACTTGAAGTCATAAATGTCTTGCCCTGCTTTCAAGCAAGTTTAATTTTAAGAAGACATTGGATTTGGGGTGTTTCTGATTGACCCAGGAGAAAATGAAAAAGGATAAAGGAGAAGATGTAAATTGAGGATATTGGAAGATCACAGACTGGGAGGAGGAATGGTGGAATGAAAAGTAGGTTCAAGTTGTATTTTGAGGGTATCTTAAAGAAAAATATTTTAAAAATGGTATCATATGAGTTTGTTTTGGAAACTTCCTCATAATGAAAATAAAGGAGATCATTGGAGGTTTAGGTTATTGATCCCCTTTTTTCCTGTTATCTCTCAAACAATTTCATTCATATCAAAAGTTCTCCAGTGTGACCACTGTAATTCCAGATTATGTTTGGTGATATCATGCCACTTAGAATAAGTAAGCACATGATATAAATTTATAGAAGCATGATTCCAGGCCAGAGATGGCAAGGACTTGGTCTAAAATGAATCAGGCACTTGTTGGTCATATATGTTGCTTGCTTCCTTGGTGTGTTGACCTCAAACTAATGTTTAGTTGTCTATAACTTCAGTCCCCCTCAATTTTAAGTCTCAGTACACAGGATATTTAGGGAGGAGATCCCTTCTGGAATCAGGTTCTCACAAACAAAAAAAAAAGAGAAAAAATATGTAAATTTTCAAAATTTTGAGGTGAACACAATGTAGAATTTCCCTATAAATATAGATGTCAGTCTGAAAAAACTTTCTGACCTTGTTATCATCAGGGCCAACCTCAGAGATGTTTATATTAGACCTTTACCTGTATTCTGTCCTTATAGACTCAAAGTACAAGGAAATTAAGGAAGACAAAGAGCCAAATATTAACAGGTCAATCCTAACATGGCAGATTTTCACTCAGAATAAGACTTTTCAAATGTTACTGGATAACCAATCTTCTCACAAAAGAGCGTTCCTTATTTCTTTCAGACAAAATAAATTCAACGTTCTGCAGCTAAGTGAAAAGGAATTAAAGTTTAGCTGAAAAGCGGGACCTACCTTACCATCATGGTCTGAGAGACATGCCATGTAATGATGGGAGCAATGATTGGAGCAATGTGTCTACAGGCCATAGAACACCAGTGATCAATGACAATCACCAGAAGTTAGGGAGAAGCAAGGAAGGATCTTCCCAGAGACCTTAGAGAGATCATGGCCCTGCCAACACCTTCACTTCAGAATTCTAGCCTCTAGTACCATGATAAAATAAATTTGTTCTTTAAGCCCACAGTTTGTGGTAATTTGTTACATTAACACAAGGACACTAGTATAAATATAAGAAGTTTTCTGAAGTAAGAAGTGAAATTATTTATTGGATTTGTTGATATTTACTCATATTTTCTGGAGCAATAATTTTGGAGAACAAACAGTTAAATCATGTTGACATAGGTCAACATTGACAGATCTTAATCCCAAAAATTGTTAGGCTGTAGTTGATAGGCTCAATTCTTACCAGCTATCTTGGTATCATGTCTTTGGATAAATTATTGCATCACTTATTAAACCTGATCATCAGAATCATATAGAAAGCTTAAATGCACACACACACACACACAGACACACACAGACACATACACTTTCCCAGAACTCACCCTCAGATATGATGAATGACATGATACAGTGGCTTCTTTTTTAAGTGTAAAAGATTACTTGAAATCGGAGATAATATGCAGTTTTTATTGATTACCTTATAAAGTACCCCTCTATCAAGAATAAATCGTAGGCTGTTTTTAAAATGTTTTTTTTTCATACTCCAGCAATGTCCCACTTGTTAAAAAAACAAGAAATTAGATAATGAGATCCAGCATGAAAAAAAAAGTATCATTTAAAGTTTTTCTAAAACAACTAAAATATTATAGAGTATGTTTTCAAATTCTGATTTTATAGAAAATGTATTAAATAATTGATTTGACCCATCCTCTTTAGACTTTGAGCTACTAGATTCATAAGAAGCTCCTAAATCAATAATACCACCACCATTTTCCTACACTATTCTTCATACATTATATTTTGTACATACCACACAATTTATATAGTGGTACCCATGTTTTTGTGAGGGCAATCTCCTTAGACATATCTTCTAAGTAGTCTCTTTTTAATCAATAATTTTATGCTGAGGGTCATAGAGCTCTGTATTTGAGGGCATCTCATTTTATCTAAACTCCTTATGATTCTCTGTGTGGGATCCACATCGTTTTGCTTCTCTGTGCCACCTGTGAAATTCCTGTATCCACAAGTTTAATGGATGTGACAGTTAATAGAAGTACTGATCTTAAGTTCTAGCTCTATCTAAAAAAAATCTAAGCCTCTCTCTCTTTTTTTTTCTTCCTTCCCCTATGTTCATCTGTTTTGTTTCTTAAATTCCACATATGAGTGAAATCATATGGTATTTGTCTTTCTCTCACTGACTTACTTCACTTAGCATAATTCATTCTAACTCCATCCACACATTGTTGTAAATGGCAAGATTTCATTCTTTTTGATGGCTGAGTAATGTTCCATTGCATATATATATGCATATATATACATACCTACCTACCACATCTTCTTTATCCACTATTAACTATAGAGAACAAACTGAGGGTTACTGGGGGGCAGGTGGGGGGATTGGTTAAATGGGTGATGGGCATTAAGTAGGACTTTAAGTATGAGCACTGGGTGTTATATGTTAAATGATGAATCACTAAATTCTACTCCTGAAACCAATATTACTCTACATGTTAACTAACTAGAATTTAAATAAAAACTTGAAACAAAAAATAAGAATAAGAATAAAAAATATCTAAGCAAGTTTGAAACTAGGTGGAAATTTTCCTTAAAAATATGGACTGTGTGTTCATTTAATGAAGAAAGATGGTTTACATGATTGTTGTGGGAAGCATAATAGTAAAGAACATAATTTTCTATATAATGAGATTTCCTCATGTCTTAAGAAGTAACAATGATAATATTTGCTGAATTTACTACCCTACTTCCTGATAATGAACATCTATATGTAGTTATGCAGAAGGCTAAATATCTCTGAATTCAGTTCACATTACTTTACTTACAAAAAAAGGGAGGCCTTGGTTAATAATAAAAAGAATATAAGTTTGTCTTCCTTCCATCAAAGTTCCAATTCTTTCTAATCTCTCCCCATAGATAATCTAGTTTGATTTATTTTTTTCCACTTTATACAGCTTATACTACTTCATTTAGCTACTTACATCTTTATATTTTTAAACCTCTTAAATTCTGAGATGGAAATGTTTGATGCCTTATAAATTACTGTACTTCTCAGTGATAATTTTTAAGGATAATTAGCCTTACATTTGACATAAAAGTCATTCCTTCCCACTTTCCCAGTAATCTAGTGGGTATTTTTGTTTTGTTTTGTTTCAGTTTTTGTTTTAAGATAGGTCAAAAAGGAACGTGAGATGCCCTCCCATCCCTTGCTTCATAGTTACTCCTATTTAATACTCCTAGGATCTCTTTAAGACTGAGAATTCCACATTGCCTTCCTAACACTTATGTGATTCCCTATTTCTCTCCTATAAAATACATTTTCACCACTTCCTAGTGGACAAGCAGGCTACCACTTTGAGGTCTGAGATTTTATGCTTCATATATTTTTTGGAACTGGAGACCAGGGACAGTAAACAGAGGAACAAAATAACAGATGTTTAGTTACTGTGGTAGTGGAAGTGTAGCAGAAGGATATTTGGTTTGGAGCAGGCTGACAGAGAGAAACACAGCTGGAAAATGTAAATCTTGCCTGCCATTAGAGTGACCCCTTCCACCATAAAAAAAGTGTTCTTCAGGACTATGATGCTAACATCTCTCCCTCCTGATACTGTGCATTCTGACAGAATTAGAGAGTCATATATTTAAAATAGCGATGGAGAAAGATGGGTGGAAGAAGAAAAAGAAAACTTATATTTGTAAAAGCTTGATGGCTTGGTAATTATGTTAGAAGAGGTAATTAGAAGGGATGGGATAAAAGAACACTGCTGGACAGGCTAAGAAGGCAGATGCTAGGCACTCAATTTTGTGCTTGTCTTCATCTAAACCTCTTAACTGGCGTCAGTATCAGAGAACCCCATGCATATCCTATACCTGAACTTGGAGCTGATATTGGACAAACTTTCACGTGAGCAATCCTAGCCTAAATCAGACTACTTCTATGTGAACAAAATGCAAGGACTAATATGTATTTTTTTTTAAGATTTTATTTATTTATTTGACAGAGAGAGAATGAGCGAGCACACAAGCAGTGGGAGTGGTGGAGGGAGAGGGAGAAGCAGGTTCCCCGCAGAGCAGGGACTCGATCCCAGGACCCTGGGATCATGACCTGAGCTGAAGGCAGACGCTTAACCCACTGAGCCACCCAGGCACCTGCAAGGACTAATATTTTTAATGTGAGAGTATGAAAAGAGAGGTGATGATTTTGCTAAGAACAGTGTGAGAAGAAAACCTTACAGATTTCATATTTTTATAAAAGATTTTCCATCATGCCTGCAACCACTTATTATGTATGTCATAATTCACAGTATTTCCATGTTATGTAAATGTTATTGAATATGTTAGATTAATTTAGTGGAATGTTTAATTAAAATATTCAAGTTATGCTTGCCAAAATTATAGTCAATAATAAAACCAATATTTATATTTTATCTTACAATTACTAATGTATATTTTCACAAACACAACCCTTAAGATCTAACTCTGTTAATTACATATGAAAATTAGTTTCTGTATATCAGTCTTTTTTCACATTACATAGTATGTTGGAAAAAAAATTGCTTTAACATTGTTTTAGTTCAAACCATAAAAGAAAAAAAGAGAAAAAGTATTGTTATTCTACTTGTAACTAATGATTGAGAACTTTTTAAAGGACTTTAATTTGTAAATGGAGAGGCACAATTTTAAACTGTTATTTTAAAGTTAATATCTAAAATGTTAACTGTCACCAAGCTAATTCTTTGTTTTCCAGAGTAGGTTCAAAGTAGTGAACATTTTAATTCTAATATTTAGTGCATATTTTTTAGAAGGGATGATGGGTGTAAGTATTTCACTTAAAACAAAATAGAACATTATTTTTAGCTGTCTGAAATGCTGCTTGTCCCTATTCACAAAGCAACCCATATAATCAACTTCAGAACTTAATAATATTGCTTGTGTGAATAGAAATATAGGAAGCAAGACTAAAGAAAGCCAAGTGAATGTAATAGTGCACTTTACTTTTGCAATCGGACAAGTAATTATTATTTCTCAAGAGGCCAGAGTCCAGCAATTAAAAAATTTAAAATTAATTTTAGAAATCTTAATTAAAAGAAATTAATGGTTTTATTATAAAGAATTGCCAAAAAGACTTTTGTAGAATGATAGTAGCATATTATCTTGGGTTTTACATTAAAAGTTAGGATATCTTTTCTCTATAATTTAGCTGAATTTCTGATAGTTTAAAAAAGTATTAATATATGATTTGAAAACACTTTGAAAATATTCTATATTATTAATGTAGTATTTGCCATTTTAAATATCTACAGTACCTATTTTTTTAAAATTTTTTATTGTTATGTTAATCACCATATATTACATAATTTGTTTTGGTGTAGTGTTCCATGATTCATTGTTTGTTCATAACACCCAATGCTCCATGCAGAATGTGCCCTCTTTAATACCCATCACCAGGCTAACCCATCCCCCTACCCTCCTCCCCTCTAGAAACCTCAGTTTGTTTTTCAGAGTCCATCATCTCTCCTGGTTCGTCTCCTTTTTTTTTTTTTAATTTTTTTTAAATTTTTTTAAATTTTTTTTAAATTTTTTTTTCTACAGTACCTATTTTTGACACATGTATAAAATAGCACATATAAGCCAATACTATTACAAAGATACTAATATAGTATATATAAAGTATCAGTGTGTCGGGGTGCCTGGGTGGCGCAGATGGTTAAGCGTCTGCCTTTGGCTCAGGCCATGATCCCAGGGTCCTGGCATCAAGCCCCGTGTCGGGCTCTCTGCTCAGCCCGGAGCCTCCTTCTCCCTCTCCCTCTGCCTCTGCCCCTGCTCATGTTCTCTCTCTCTCTCTGTGTCTCAAATGAATAAATAAAATCTTGGAAAAAAAAGTAAAGTGTCGGTGTGTCATGTTATCATTATTAACTGGTACTTCTATTCAAAAACAGTGTAGAGATTTTCATTGCTAAAAAATCTAATATGCCTTAAAATTTTACATACACAC